AGTGTATGTACTGTGCATGACTGGACTACACAGGCAAAGCTCCCCAGTGGGAAAAAAAAAAGATTTAAAATGTATGGCTCGCATGGCTCGCGCATTGGCTCGCATGACTCGCTGGCTCGCACTTTGTCACGACCCGACAATTTTACTCGTACGTCGTCGACTCAGGCCTTTGCTAGAACTAGGCGTAGTTTACCATACATAACGGACTAGTAGCAGTCTGGCTTAATTATAAACTAATACTTTAGGCCAGGATGTGATTTATACAGAATCTCAGAATATTCAGCACTTCAAGGATGGCATTCCAAGGAGAGGATCGAACCTATTCATGAGATAGGACTAGGTCTAGCCTACTAAGGCTAGGTAGCCCTACTGCCCCACCATGACAAAAGGAAGCAACTGTTGTTTGCATTGCATTGAGTAATTAAGGAATATGGAGCATGTTGATTTTGTCACCTGCTTCCTATTCTGGCGGTTTTCACGGTATTTTTAGTCTCTTAATTCCTTTTTGTGTTGCTAATTACCGTACTTGTTAATTAGTGGGATTTGAGCGTACTCAAATATATCAATACGTTCCAAATAATTTGTTCGTTGATAGCGACTAAAAAACTTGTTTTTTGAAAAATTGTCAGTTACTTCCTTTTGTCATGGTGGGGCGGTATACTAATACTACTGATGTGTAATATTATAGCTAGTGCTGTACCACGACGGAGTTATTGGTTCTACTACGCCCAGCTAGCAAAGCGATGTTGGCCCAACGTTGGTAAACGTTAGCAAGCGTCGGTAAGCGTGGGGGTCGGATATCTGACGTTGGTACGACGTTGGTGTTTGGTTGCAAAATTTGGTCGGAGAGGTAACGTCAAACCAACATTGGAATTTCACGTTGGCCCAACGTATGAATATATTTGTCGATTTTCCAACGTTGGTAAGCCGTCGTAAATATTCAGTCTGACTACGGACGTTGGTACAACGTCACGATTTGTTACTGGCCCGACGTCGGCAAGCTACTAAAAAGATGGTTGGGTACTACCGTTGGCCCAACGTTGTAAATATTAGATGTGATTGTAGACGTTGTCTCAACGTCACAGTACGTTAATGGCCCGACGTCGGTAAACGTTTGAAACGGTGGTTGGTTAAAACCGTTGATCTATTTCAAACGTTTACCGATGTCGGGCCAACAAGGTACTTTGACTTTGCGACAGTGTCTATAATTATATATATTATGGAGGTTGGTTACAACCGTTTGGCCGACGTTGGTTAGAGGTTGTAAATATTAGATGTGATTATAGACGTGGTCGCAACGTCACAGTACGCTATTGGTCCGACGTCGATAAACGTTTGAAATGGAGGTTGGTTACAGCTGTTGGTCCGACGTTGGTAAGAGGTTGTAATAAATATTAGGATGTGATTATAGACGTTGTCCCAACGTCACGGTATTTTGTTGGCCCGACGTCGGTAGTTAGTTAGTTGAGGTTGATGACAACAGTTGGGCCAACGTTGGTTAGAGGTTCTAAATTTCAAACGTTTAGGCCTACCGACGTCGGGCCAAAAAAAATAAAAAATTGGTTCGTGTGGGAATCGAACACACAACCACCAGGTTTGCTATTCATTATCCACCATCAACTAAACTGCCTTAAAAAATGGTTCGTGTGGGAATCGAACACACAACCACCAGGTTTTGCTATTCATTATCCACCATCAACTAAACTGCCTTAAAAAAAATTTTAAAAAAATTAAAAAAATTGTTCGTGTGAGAATCGAACACACAACTTCCAGGTTTGCTATTCATTATCCACCATCAACTAAACTGCCTTTTTTTTTTTCTAATTTGCATAATGAATTTTTCAAATATTTTTGTCTATTTAACAAAAATTGCGTAAGTTATGGAGATGGTAACAATCAAAAATCGATTATAAATTTAATTCTACATTTTTAGACAAAAAAATAAACCCTCTTTTTTCTATAGGATTAGAGTTGACTTACTGGTACTTGGTGTAGTACTAGGTTTATCGCATATATGGCTTAGGGGCCGCGGTTTACCTCCCTCCGTTTAGTCATGCTGAATCAGTTGTAGTAAACTCGGCGATCGTGGGTTCCATTCCCACACGGGGCAAGTTTTTTTAAATTTTTACTTATTTAAATTTTTTAAATTATTTTTTTGAAGGTCGTGGGTTCGATTCACACACGAGCCTTTTTTTTAAAGGCATTTTAGTTAATGGTGGATAATGAATAGCAAACATGGAGGTTGTGTGTTCGATTCATACACGAACCAATTTTTTTTCCCTTTAAGGCAGTTTAGTTGATGGTGGATAATGAATGTATTGTACTCGTTGATGACGTCGCGAAATAACAACAAACAACAACGTGTCATGTCCGAGCCTAGGCCGTCATGGAAGCTCACTGGCTCCTGTGTAATTCATGTTGAGCCAACTGCAGACGAAAAGGTTATAATCTTTTCAGAGATAAGCTGGAAGAAAGTTTTAGACAGTGCCCATCAATGGAAGGATTTTAATACTGAGGAATGGAAGTTAGCGAAGTCCTTGACTTGCTTAACCGTTTTTCTTCGATCGTCATTTCCAATGTCTAGGCGCGTCTAGCCTAAAGAGGGCTTACATATTAGGTCAAGATCCATGAAAAGTCGTATGAAGATGTGGGTTACCCACATCTTTATATTTGCACAAGTAATTAAAATTGTTTATTGAGCAGATTAATCACACTGATATACAATTGTACTACGTTCGGCTGATGCACGGTCATTTCAGCAGCCATGGTTATACATAAAAAGTTAAAAAAAACATTGTTGTAGCTAGGTAAGTAGTAGGACTTTTGCTAATGAAACTACAATGTATACAGTGTTAAGATGAATAAATAACACAGTATTTCTTTTTTTTTTTTTGTATTAAAGTGTTAATTTACTATGACATTGGACCTATGATAGGCCTACTGTACTACAGGAATGCGAGATATGTAACATGGGAACGTGCATGAAAAGCGCCACACCAGTATTTCTTATGAGCTCAGTAGCCACATGTACCTTTTAAGTAACTATTTTTAAAAAGGTTTTTATTTCCCATTAGTACATTTAATTTAGCTGCTTTCAGGGACGTCTCAAGGTGGGTGGGGGGGGGGAGCCGCTGCTCACCCACCCCATTTGTACACAGTGTTAATATTTTAAAGCTTGTTTTTGAGCCAATACAAATTCTTTCCTGGGATAACTCAAAATGAATACTTATAAAATACGTAAATATGCATCAGTACACGTTATACATATAGGCATACTATAGTTATAACACATGCCTAAGCGTGATTTTAAATCCATAAATCCCAGGCCAAGTCTTTTAATACAGGAATGTGATACTGTATGGTTCAGTTTGGATTTTATCTTTTTTGATAATGGTGATAATGATAGTGATAATTGATAATAATGTTAATAACATTGTAATGTGAAGAAAATTGTGTTAAAGGCGAAAAATAAAGTTGTGATTTGTTGATCATAATATTATAGTATAGTTAAAACTTAGTAAATTACGTACATCGCATAACAGCTCCCCCCCCCCCCCCCCCACCACCACTTTCAAAATCCTGGCTACGTCCCTGACTTGGTTTACCATAAGTATTGAATATTTCATTCCAATTTAGCTTAATCATACTTATCTCTTCCAAATAGAGCGGTTTTCTTTCTCTTAACTACCAAAAGATTTACGTTGTATGTATTATTATCGTATTTCAAAGACACTTCCTCTCCAGAATAACTGGTAAGAACTACGTTGCTCTTGTGTATTGGGAATATTGCTAATTTGCTATCGTACATCTGCTCTGATATGGTGGATCTGGAAGCACCCGTATCCACTTCCATTCTTATATTAGATTCAACTATTTTAACATATTGTAAAGTAAGGCTTTATCTTACCAGTTGTTACCGCATTCATTCCGAACATATTATTACTGTCCTCATTTTCACTACAATAATCATACATGGTTGTACGTACTTTGTACGTTGTATGTTGAAAGTAAAAAGGGTTTGGAGGCAGACAGACGTCCTTATCAGATCCAGCAGTTCGTGGTGGTGTTCCGAGTTCCCACTGGGCCGTCATAGAGTCATTTGTAGACGCTTGTCCAGCTGCATTCAATTTCGTACTTGGTCTCTGTCTTGTAAATTTCGTAATCAATTTCTTTACCAGAATAATTTCATTTATTTAATTTTCGTTTAGGTATCTCTTGCAATACGTTTTGTTCATTCAATACAGTATCCAGCTTGTTATCTCAGAAGTTTATATATATAGATATATATAAACTATAAGATAAAACTAGTCTAAAATGGATTTCACCGCGTTAACGTCTCACAGCCAAGACGTAAAAGCGACCATAGCAACAGCCGACCCAAAGTAATGAACGACTGATAATAATGCGGACTGGCGTTTTAAAACTAGTTTTATTTTTCCTATTTTAGATATTTTGCCTGCTTTGTATAACTGTAGTGCTAATTCAGGCAATCACATGGATACTAAATGGCAGTGTAATTCATAATATAAAACATAGCATCAGCCTTCAATATGCGGTATTGGAAAGGTATGTTGTTGTTTTTTTTTCTTTTTTTTAAATACATTTTTACCTCGCCAATTCAAAAATTATCAAAGGCGCAAAGTGAAGAATCAACCAGACTAAAAGCATTAGAAAATACACAAATCTTGATATTCTTTTGAATTAAACTAGATTTCGGACTGTCTAGTACAGAAATGGCATCAGAATAGCTCTATCCAAATTATTTCTAGTTATATAACAAACTGAATTAGAAACGTAATACCGGTATTTGAAAAAAAGTCAAATAAAATGAAAGAGAAAAGACCGTACTTTAAGTAGGCCTATTGTATTGTAACAGCAATTTTTTTTTTTTTTTAACTCGCCGGGTGATATTATTTGAATATCTTTTGTTAAATTGCTACTTCTCTTAGGCCTATCACTTTTCATTCGTGAACTGTTTTCATTGTACATATTAGGAATATGGTTAGGCCTACACAGCCTATCTCAGCACGAACAGTGGGCTTACGAAGTTGTACGCCGAAGAAAAGCATCGTGTTTTTGAAAACTCACAAAACAGGCGGAACAACGTTAGCACGAATACTTGAACAATACGCCTTCGACAACAAACTAAATGTGGTCATTAAAGCAGAACAGGGAAGCTATTTTCACTTTACAAATACGAATTTGAATTTTAATTCAAAGAAGAAATTTTTACCCCCGATAGGCGTCAAACAAGGAGATTATAACAACTATAAGTACAATGTTTTTGCGCTACATGCCCGATACGATAGGCCGGTTTATGACTCGTTTATGGAGATTGACTCAATTTATGTGACATTATTGCGTGACCCAATCACTCAGTTCGAATCTACTTTTGATTACTTTGGTGTTGGGGCAGCCGCACTAAGAGGCAAGTCATTAAATAAAACACAGAGATTAGAGGTTTTCTTAAGTGATCCACTTAAATATTGGACTCCACTGAAAAATTCTCTGCGCTTACGTTCTCGAAATAATCAGATTTGGGATTTGGGCGTTGATCCCGCGAAATATCCTAATAGTTTTGTTGCTGATTATACAATTAAACGTTTGGATAATGAACTTGATCTAGTAATGATAACAGAATATTTTGACGAATCATTGTTATTACTGAAACAAAAGCTTTGTTGGGAGTTTGAAGACATTTGTATCTACCTCGAAACCAGAGAAGTAGCCGTGTCGCGTTAAATGTGAACACTCGTAACAAAATATCGCAGTGGAATTGGATAGACACGAAACTATACTCTCACTTTCTCGAGCGTTTACATAGTCTTATAAAGGACTATGGCCCACGATTCCAAGACGACTTATCTGCGTTTCGCAACATGACATCATTTGTGCATAAAACATGCGTTGCTAATGAAAAACTACAATCTAGGAAGAAAAGGATTACATTCAACATGGTTTGAGGTAATATCACCGGTGATGGCGGCATTTGCAGACATGTTGGTACTTTAGATGAATGCAATTTTGGTAATGGTTACATTTTGTTGCTTGATTTACCTTACATATGCAAAAGTGTTACCGCCGATGATCGAAGTTTGAATCCATACCTCAGACGCATGATGAAGGGGGAAAAAAGACAGTAACATCTATCCAGTGTTGGTGGCTAAAATGCTTGTTTTTCAATGCCAATGGGTTCCTTAGAATTGATTAGTCTAGATCAGTGGCGTAACGCCTAAACGCCTATGAATATCGATCTCATCTCTTAATCTTTTACGTTGTTTTCCCTTGATCGTTTTGCCATCCATGTGGTCTGTTACAGTTTTTTATTCCTTTTTTTTTTAAATACTCAACTACAATTTATTTATATTGCTTATTTATAATGCTTGCACCTGTGGCTCAAACATAGCCTTAATCCACTTGACAGTGTATCAACAATGCAATTTGGGGTATCTATACATGGCTGCCCGAGATTGGACACCGTTTCAATTTGGTTTGTACTCCTCCCGACTACAAGTTCAACAACCAGAATGAAAACCACTGAGCCAAACCGCAGTTTTACCATTATTGTTATTAATATTAATAAAAATAATAATTTATTATTATTATTTTAATATTATTTTATTTATTTGCATTCATCCCCCTCCCCCACTAGCTTGGCTAGGCCCTTCTACTACTGCCGCCAGTGTGTCTATTTTGTATGTGTCTATAAAGCATGGGATATCTCGATAATAGTTAACACTCTTCAGCGTACGGCATCGTAGATTTCGACACAATAATGTACTTGGTTAGTAGTAGTAGTAGGCCCTATGTTGTGTCATCAGTTTCTGTGGTTATTTTTTATGGGATTGCCAATGCATAGGCCTACTACGTACATAGGTACGACGATAGAGCCTAATAAACTTTTTTTTTTGTGATAATTTAATTACTATTCCCCTTGACGAACACTGGTGAACTGTCTATGAAGATAGACAAATCAGAGGCTTTTTGGTTCCCGAGACATCTTTTTGGTAACTGCGCATGCTCGACAATGCTCGATAACGTCACTTACTCAATGCACATGCTCACTGGCAGTGTCTAGAATTTCCAAGCGCATGCTCACTGTGTATTTATAGATAATTCACGGACGTTATTTGGTAACTGCGCATGCGCATTACTTAGTTCGGAATTCCCATGTCTTCGTAGTAAAAGCTACCGCTACCTACAATTTCTTAATGACTGTGTTCTCTTGATTGTTACAGCCTAACGGTAAGGCGCAAAAAACGAGCACATCTTAAATCCTGGAGACTGGGACCCAAAAGTCCCCAAATCTCATAGAGCCACAGGGCTCCCGGCCTCATCGTTACGCCACTGGTCTAGATGGCATCTTTATAATATTAGAGCATCTGTGAGTTATGATCTTGCGAACCAATTCTTGTCGGTTAGTCGGTGGTCTCAAATTGTAAGAATACGATTTGCAGTAGTCTGTTCTAAGTAGATTACTTTGAGTTCATGTAGCCCTGGGATTGTTGATACCTCTGCGCAGAGGGACCATAGTGCTTTATTAGTCTCCCTTATTGGTACCCTTACCACTTAGCCGTCTCAGATCTGGCTGAAGCTGCTGAGCCTCTTTCCTCCATGAGATCGGATCTGCCAGCTCTAATCTGTGTCAATGTGGTAGACCACAAACAATAGACCACGTCATTATCACAGCCCTGACTTCAGACTTCCCAATGGCGAACAGGGACTCCAAGACCTGGACAAAGATACCATGGAATGGCTTCGAATGACCATACTACACATCTAATGTTGATTCTCGCAGGATTCATACGAAAGAAGAAGAATAGTGGAAAATTGAGAAAATAGGAAAGAGGTTAAAAAATGTTTAAGTTAAAGACAAATTGTATATTATAAATACTGTTAATATTGTTATAAATATATAATAATAATAATAATAATAATAATAATAATAATAATAATAATAATAATTATTATTATTATTATTATTATTATTATTATTATTAATCAGCAGAAAGATTACACATATGATTTTATTTGAAGTATTTCGATACCATACATGAAACTTACTGTACAATAAACAATTTGAGAACGACATCAATATAAAAATGAATATAATCTTGTGGTATCATGAATAACCCTCTAAATCTTCAGAATGGGATTTACATATTGATACATTTCACTTGCATTTACTATACCTCCAATATGGCAATAAGTGACTATCCTACCATAGAGGAATAAACTAGTTCCTCCATGATCCTACTAACCTCATTAAACCTCCAAAAACGTATTATTTGTATCATTACATCATCACCATATAGGTGCAATGCTGAGCTACTTTTTCATCAACATTATTTTCTGAATATTGCGACATAAATAAGGTAGGATGTTTTATGTATAGACATACCCATGAACTGTTACCAAAGGTATTTAATGATCTATTTCAGTTCACAGGTAATGTTCATAGCAGACAAGACAATGTTATTACAGTACTTACATTTCTTACTGACATTTCTGTGCAATTTATGTAAGGTTTGGCCTTGTCTCTTATTTGTCATTTAACTTTTTAACTATTCTAATGTATTTGAATGAACAAAAGGTAATTACTAATGGACTCATAATTGTACAACCTCTATGAGGTTCAAATGAGCTTCAATTTCATCAACTATTTTCATCTCTCTTTTTATTTTTATTTTTCTTTTTTGTTTTGTTTTAGTTTTCTGCTTTTACTTTTTAGTTATTGGTATCCGTTAAATGGACAGGTGAGACAAGCCTAGGTTTCTAAACTGGTCCCTCACCTTTGTTTTCTCTGTTTTGTTGTCATTGGTGGAATAAATGTCACATTGATTGATTAATTGGGATCATAAGTCATAGAAATTGCCTAAAGTTTCTTCATTCATTGGTGTCATATATATAAACTATAGAATATTTCTATGTAAAACTGTATTAATTTGGGTGCATAGACCAATGATATGCCAAATATAGCGAACTCAATTTCTTTTGAATCCGAGTGCTAGAAATAATGAAAATGGTAACCACCACGAGATCATATATGCTTTTACTTAAGTTTCTTCATTCATTGGTGTCGTATGTCAACTATAGAATATTTCTATATAAAAATGTATTCATTTGGGCACATAGGTCAATGATATGCCAAATAGCGAACTTATCACTTTTCAATCCGAGTGATGTTGATAATGATGATAATAAAGATGAACAGACCACAGTCAAGACGACCAAAATGAAAGATAAATGTAATGATGATGACGATGGTGATGATGAAGATCATGATTTTTACACAATTAAAATTTGTGTCGAATTGTTTGCAAAAATGCAACAAGTGAAAACTAAACCATAAACTATACTAATACAATTTAACCGAAATAATCAATTTAAACCATACACCAGTGCACCGTTCAAATCGACATGCACAGCCGAGTTCTCGAACCCCCGACCTCGAGGTTTAGAAACCGAAACGCAACAGCTACACCAACCGCTCCTACATGACGTACGGTATATATAATAATGTTTATTTAATAACACGTTTACATAACTACAGTAACCTATAGCAATAGAATGGTTAAAGCGTCCTGCTTTAAATAATGGGCTGGAAAGTAAACATTGAGTTCCTTTTAAAACAAGCGAGATTGTGAGTAAAGTTCATTTCTTGAAGTTTTCAACCCGTGTATCACACGTACCGGTAAGTAAAGCTTTCTCTGTTCTGGGTAACTTTCTATGTTCTGGTGGGTAAAGACGACCTTATAAGGATTTATGTTCATTTTTCCGGTAATACGGTGGGTGGGGGTGGGGGAGAAGAATATAATCTGGGGACAACCCCCCCCCCCATAGCGCCTCCATCGTGATTTAAGCATCAGTCATGAGCAGATTTAGGCCTATTTCTTTTTTAAAATGTATAAACTCTCACGGCCTGGCAAAAAATCGTGTGATGCGCCCATAATAGAGCCCATGATGATGTCATATCAGGGGTGTCGCTCAAAATCTTTCGAAAGTGCATATGTTGCCTCCGGAAAATACGATAATTTAAGGGGTGTCAAAGGCTTATTTAATAGATTTGAGTGTCTACATGTAAACAAGAGATAGGGGCCTATAATTTGTTTTTCTCCGCGACAAATTGTGTTTTTCTCCCCGACGGGCGCCCTGATCCCGGTTCCCACTGGCACCACCCCTGTGTCGTATTACATCAACAATGGTCATATCATATAATTTGTAACATAAAATTTGATAGAGTGGACTAAGCTTTTAAAGAAGACATGACAATAATTTTTGTTTCTTGTATGTACGTTAATTTCTAGTGTTGTACTCGCGTAAATCAGGCGCGTAACAGGGGTCTTGAGTTTAATGAGGTAAAGGTAATAATTTTCTCGGTTAGTAATTTATGACCGGGTGTGATACTCTCCCCGAATATAGAAAAAAGCTACGAAATATTTTAACAGAATACCGTATATAATACTAGGCCTACATAGGCCTACTTGTGTTTGAAACTAAATTTTCATTATGGTTTTATTTATTACAACCATATTCTTTCACCATCAATACACATGCAAAGAATCTCTCTCTCTCTCTCTCTCTCTCTCTCTCTCTCTCTCTCTCTCTCTCTCTCTCTCTCTCTCTCTCTCTCTCTCTCTCTCTCTCTCTCTCTCTCTCTCTCTCTCTCTCTCTCTCTCTCTCTCTCTCTCTCTCTCTCTCTCTCTCTCTCTCTCTCTCTCTCTCTCTCTCTCTCTCTCTCTCTCTCTCTCTCTCTCTCTCTCTCTCTCTCTCTCTCTCTCTCTCTCTCTCTCTCTCTCTCTCTCTCTCTCTCTCTCTCTCTCTCTCTCTCTCTCTCTCTCTCTCTCTCTCTCTCTCTCTCTCTCTCTCTCTCTCTCTCTCTCTCTCTCTCTCTCTCTCTCTCTCTCTCTCTCTCTCTCTCTCTCTCTCTCTCTCTCTCTCTCTCTCTCTCTCTCTCTCTCTCTCTCTCTCTCTCTCTCTCTCTCTCTCTCTCTCTCTCTCTCTCTCTCTCTCTCTCTCTCTCTCTCTCTCTCTCTCTCTCTCTCTCTCTCTCTCTCTCTCTCTCTCTCTCTCTCTCTCTCTCTCTCTCTCTCTCTCTCTCTCTCTCTCTCTCTCTCTCTCTCTCTCTCTCTCTCTCTCTCTCTCTCTCTCTCTCTCTCTCTCTCTCTCTCTCTCTCTCTCTCTCTCTCTCTCTCTCTCTCTCTCTCTCTCTCTCTCTCTCTCTCTCTCTCTCTCTCTCTCTCTCTCTCTCTCTCTCTCTCTCTCTCTCTCTCTCTCTCTCTCTCTCTCTATTTCTTTCCCGGTACGACGGCTTGGTCAGCCCGGTAAAATCCGCCTGTTACGCCGCTATAAATACAGCTGTCTCTTATACACATCTAGATGTGTATAAGAGACAGGTCTACATGTAAACAAGAGATAGGGGCCTATAATTTGTTTTTCTCCGCGACAAATTGTGTTTTTCTCCCCGACGGGCGCCCTGATCCCGGTTCCCACTGGCACCACCCCTGTGTCGTATTACATCAACAATGGTCATATCATATAATTTGTAACATAAAATTTGATAGAGTGGACTAAGCTTTTAAAGAAGACATGACAATGATTTTTGTTTCTTTTCTGTACGTTAATTTCTAGTGTTGTACTCGCGTAATTCAGGCGCGTAACAGGGGTCTTGAGTTTAATGAGGTCAAAGGTAATAATTTTCTCGGTTAGTAATTTATGACCCGGTGTGATACTCTCCCCGAATATAGAAAAAAGCTACGAAATATTTTAACAGAATACCGTATATAATATTAGGCCTACATAGGCCTACTTGTGTTTGAAACTAAATTTTCATTATGGTTTTATTTATTACAACCATATTCTTTCACCATCATTACACATGCAAAGAATCATTACTGTAGTTTTTTTTTCCCCATTTTTGAATGGACCAATGAGGCCCTTCTTTTATGGTAAAACGATCTGTCTTACCTTTTTTCTCTTTGAGTTGGGACTATTAAGTGTTCAATTAAATTAGAACTAGCGGGATCGAAGTCCCAGGCTGGTCTTTCTCTTCAAAGTCGCATTATTTATTACAAGTGTTTATGATGATGTATACATCATTGTTGCTATAGAAATTTGTATAGGTGTAATTTTGCCCTACCTGACGTGAAAATGTACCGAATACTCAGTACAGTTGAAAACAACTGCGAAAAAATCGCAAGTTCTCGGGTGGGACTCGAACCCACGATCTCCAGATCACTAGCCTGGCATCATACCTCTAGACCACCGAGCTTGCGCCTGAAGGCCAGGGTTGAATTCGAGTCAAAGTAAGCAGCGGGTACTGCAGTGTTGATAGTAATTGTTATTGTCGTGATGGAATAATAGACAATAACTGTTATAATAATAGACAATAACAGTTATTGTCTATTATTCCATCACGACAATAACAATTACTATCGATATAGAAATTTCAATATACGGTACATCAATTTTCAATTTGTGTACCGTTTGCGAAGTAGTTTGTGCCTGGGAAGAAGTCACAGGCTGGTCTTCCTTTCTGAAGTCAATCGTAGGTCTATCTGGTCTTGTTGTTACGTTGTAAATCTGTGCAAAATGCCTCCCGGTACACTGACTCTCTGTACTTAAAGTTTTCACCATGGGCGGTCGAAATATGGCTTCGCAGCCTATCTCTTCTTAACGATTTTGTTACAGTAGAAGAACATTGTTCTCCCCTTTGAAGACATCTTGGAGCGATCCTTTATCGTTCTAAAAACTAATACGAGAAGGTGTAAAACGCGAAGTGCCCGTCTGGGAATGAGATGCACCAACGGATTCAGAGAATATCTGGCATGTATCACCAAGGGATCACCAAAGATCATACAACTATTTCGCTCTAATTATGCAAACATTTTTTTGAAGTGGAGAAGGGGGTGCAGGGTGTTGTCTGATACCCGATTATATGATATCTACCTTTTCATTCTTTTCTTTATTTTTCTCTTCCCTTTTCCGTTCCTTTTCTTTTCCCCTTCTTTCTCTTTCCCTCCTTCTCCCCCTCTCTCCCTATCTCTCTCTCTCTCTCTCTCTCTCTCTCTCTCTCTTTCTTTCCCGGTACGACGGCTTGGTCAGCCCGGTAAAATCCGCCTGTTACGCCGCTATAAATACAGAGAGTGTGAATAATTGCCGCCAATCAGGTTTGAATAGTGGCCCATTGGTTGCGGTGAGCGCATACAGCAGGAGACATACGAGTTTGAAGCCCGGTTAGGGCTATTTTTTAGATTTTTTTTAGACTCACAGATTCTTTTTACAGTATAAAATTTAAATATAGGCCTATAAACACAGAGAATTACCGAAAATGGTTCACAGGCTCTTTACGTGTAACATTTCTTATATAAAATTATCACTTTGAAGACCCGTACTCATTCGTTGGAACATTGTTCGATTAGTAATTTGTATTTATTTCCTTTATCAAACACTCGTCACTTACAGGATGGAACAATGCTTTATAAACCAACTCTCTTGGGGCCTAGGAAGTGGTGTTTAGTCGTGAGAAAAAGTCATGCTGTGACAGGATTTGAACCTAGGACCCTGGGATTAAAAGCATCCTAACCACAAAGCATCCTAACCACAAAGCTATTTAACTCCACTCCAGAGGCGTAGGCGTACGTAATTTAGGAGTTTGTAAATTGAATTCGGTTGATTTAAGAAACTGTTATTTCTTTTATACGGCCTACTTAATTTTTGAAGGATTGGGATAATGCAACACAATCTATATTCATCATTTATACCAAGAATTGTTAGAATGCATTTTCACTACACAATAAATTCCAATACATAGTAAGCGCAAATGTTGACAAACTATCGGTTGATCGGTAGATAATACACAGAGCACTTGACCCTTCAATGTGCTTTGAAATGCTTTGTAGCCCAAATGTAAAGTTCTTTAGTGCATATAAAGAAAATTCTAGATATGTGGGTTGCTTGATATTTGACAAACAAGAATTGGTCTACTTCTACGGCCAGCAACCTTCTACTCCTAAGGACCCATAATTGTGTGCCCTAGATTCCCACGACCCACCCAAGATCTCGAGTTATTATAGAGGTATGGTCCTAGATACAAAATATTCGGCCAATGAAATACAGTGGAACCCCCTACGGTGGGACACCCTATTCAGGGGACACCACTAGGGGGACACTTTTTAGTTAAACGAGCAGAATTATATCTATAAACACTACGGCCAACCCATATTAAGGGGACACCCCTATTTCTTGGTGTGACAAATGGTAAAGTCAGTACATATTCTACCCTATTAAGGAGACACTTAATTTTTTTTTATTGTATCACAAAAACTACAGTAGTGATGAAATAATTTAGACACATTTTGAACATTAAACTCCACATCAAACCAGAATTGTCTTCCCTGAATTCGGTGTGAAAATTGTTATTATCTCTTGATTATTAATTAATTTGTGTAAAGGCCCAAATATTTTTTTGAGTTGGGTTCACGAGTAATGAAGCAACTCGTCACCCCATTATTCTACTGTCATCATATTCATATATGTAGGACTGGTGACTGTCCTTGTAAAATGCAATATGCGAGGGTTATATCATCTTAATCTGGCTTATGCCGTCCTGTATATTGTATATACAACCAGATTACAACAGTTTAATTACTATACTGGAACAGCTTCAAACGCCGGGAACCAGCGTAGATTTTTAAACCAATTTCTAAAGACGCCATT